CCCCTGCAACTCAGACTAACCTGAGCACAACAAAGCCCCCACCCAAACAGAACACTCCCCCATCCAATCAGAGCACAGCGAACCCCCCATCCAATCAGAGCACAGCCAAGCTCCTTAACCAATCAGAACACACCTCCACCCAATCAGAACACAGCCAAGCTCCCACCCAATCAGCTCAAACCCCACTGGCAGTTAAAAGGAAGAAACAGCTGCGATCGCACACTATTCCCAGAAGCATGAAGCTGAAGACACCAGCCTGAAGATGATGAATGTGACTTCGTCGAAACGTCGCCAGGACACTTCCAATTTTACGCGGGAGAGAACCTGAATGACCAAAGACCTACATACAAACACCCGCGAAAACCTCAGAAAACATATATATATATATATATATATATATATACACTGAGGTTTTCGCGGGTGTTTGTATGTAGGTCTTTGGTTATTCGTCGAAACGTCGCCTAGACACTTCCAATTTTACGCGGGAGAAACCCCGAATAACCAAAGACCTACATACATGTCTGTCTGTCTGTCTGTCTGTCTGTCTGTCTGTCTGTCTGTCTGTCTGTCTGTCTGTCTGTCTGTCTGTCTGTCTGTCTGTCTGTCTGTCTGTCTGTCTGTCTGTCTGTCTATCCATCCATCCAATGATGCAATCAACGATCTCCGGGAGAGGTACAAACCGGGGAGGGAGAGGCCTGGCAAGGATGACAAGGGAAAAAAGTGCAGAATTGGAGTGCAAAAAAGAGAGGGCGGGACGACTAAGGCAATTACAGTCAATCAGGAAGAATGGCCCTATCACACGGGCTATGAGTAAGCAGTTAGATCAACAAGGGTATAAAAAGAACCTCCCCACCCCCTGAGCCTCACTCTGAGGTTGCTGGCCGAGGACCAGCGAAAGCTAAGTTGTTTTTTAACTTTGTATATAACTGTTTTTATTGTTTTAACAATAAACAACTGGTTTGTACCTCTCCCGGAGATCGTCGATTGCATCATTGGATAAATATGCCTGGGATTCACATTTTTGCAACCATTAAGGACATCTTTCTTTCTTTCTTTCTTTCTTTCTTTCTTTCTTTCTTTCTTTCTTTCTTTCTTTCTTTCTTTCTTTCTTTCTTTCTTTCTTTCTTTCTTTCTTTCTTTCTTTCTTTCTTTCTTTCTTTCTTTCTTTCTTTGAGTTTGGTGCACCCTGTCGGCCCAAATATGGGAAATATGAGAAAGAGCCTGTGGCCTAGAGGCTAATACATCTGCCTAACATGCAGACAGCCCAGGTTCGAATCTCAGAAGGGTATGTCTGGTTGAAAAGAACTAAAAAGTTCGAAATGGCTATTCCAGATCTCCCTTAATTCTTTGTTAGCAATACAAATTTTGAAAAAGATATATATATAAGTAAAAAAGGATATATGCAGTGTTATCTTCATTTTAGATATCAAAAGGGTTTTGCAGCTCCCAGTGTTTTTTTTTTTCTGTGGGAAACGAGTCCAAGTGGCTCTTTGAGTGTTTTGGGTTGCCTACCCCTGCTTTAGTGGTATAAGAATACTGATAATAACTTACAAAGAATTATAAAGATCATTGTTGAATCCAAAGCAGCTCATTGAAAATTAGTGGGGCATGAATTAGCTGATTTGTTGATCTGCTTTCAGTGATTTAGTATTTAGATACATTATAATGGTACACATTATGTATTAATTTACTGTTCAATTGTAATATGTAGCATATGATATATCCTTAACTCTTCCATCAGTCATGTTTATAACTACTGCACTAGTGTACATCAGTCTAATCAAGCCCGAGGATCTGGTGTAACCACTTCTAAATCTAAAAAAGGCCAAACACCTGGAGGAGCTCAGTTTGTTGGCTTGGAATTGTACAAACGACTTAAAGAATTTCTGAAGAATTACTTGACAAATCTGCTTAAGGTAAGATAATTTTATCCCTTGGAAAAAGGACATTTCTCATTTTTTTGGGAAAGGGAGATAAGTCTATTAATTCTATTTTAGAATCACCATAGATAATTTATTTATTTAGCGTATGGCATCTACAGAAGTCATTCAATCACTCTTACACAAATTTAGTTTAAATAAAGTGTCAGCATACACACACACACACACAAAATGCAGTATAGAATATAAAACATTAAGGTAAAACCATAATAAAATCACCATGACATGGAACCATAGAATTGGAGACATTCTTAAATTACATAGATGATGATAATGATTATTAAACGTTTATGCTGACCAACTCTATAAAGGAGAAATCAGAAGTCTGAGAATGGAATATTTCTTTTATCCATCTTATGCACTTCTAAAGTGCACTTCAGTAAAATAGTCAAGGAAATAAGCAATAAAAATAATAAGCAGTGAGAAATGCTTTTTAAACAAGTGATGTATAGTTCCATATAAACCTAATTTTGCAAAGTGTATGGAAGCTACTGTAATACCAAATATAATTCATAGTATTTAATTGATGAATTCCTAAATATCTTGAAGATACTATGTTTGAAAGTGTGCCCCTCTTATACACTTGTCTATATAGGTAGTCCTCATTTAGCAATTGCTTCAGACAGTGACCATTTTCAATTACAGTAGTGATAAAAAAATAACTTTGCAACTAATGTATAATCTTCACAGAATTGCTCAGAATTCTCCTTTACAGTTAGTTAGTGCGTGCTTGTCTTGTTCCTGACCTCTTTTATGTAGTGTACTTTATTTTATACAATAATCAGTAAAGATAAAAAAAAAATTGGTGATTTAATTTTGTTATCAGGGTTAAACTGTAATTCTCAAAAAAAAGGAATCCTGAACCCAGAGCTTGCCAGAGTTCAGTTTTAACTTATTGCTCTCTATTCACAATTCAACAGCCTCTAGGCAACAAGAAAGGGCCATCACAGCATCATTTATCTCACCACATATAAAGTTGTACAACTGAGTATCATCAGCATATTGATATCTCATCCTGATGATCTTACCCAGTGGTTTCATGTGGACATTAAACAGGAGTAGAGAAAGCATCTCCCTTTGAGTGACTTTTTATGGTATCAAAAGCAGCTGAGAGGCCAAGCAAAGCAGGGATAGACACATTGCCTCTTCCTGCTCCTACTAGATATAATAAAACAGGACCAATGCTGTTTCTGTCCCATTGACTGAAAGGGGTCCAGGTAATCTGTTTCCTCCAGGATCCTCTGGAGCTGCAACACAACCAAATTCTCCAGCGTGACGAGTGGAGAATCCACCAATGGGTTATGCTTGTCTTCTGCCCGTAGACTAAGTCAGCCAATTTTGCTCCACCTCTTTCTGGAACCTCCATTCCCCAGTTCTCTCAGTTAGTCTCAGCCCGTTCAGACTGTTATTTCTGCAGAAGCAATTCTTTGAATCAGGTCGTATTTTTCTTTCATTTTCGTTACTTCGTGTCGAAGGGAGGGAGAGGGAGAAGGACGAACGGCTGTTCGCTTTCTTCTCTTAGCTGGGTGATCGCAGCGCTACCGCAAGGCTCTCAGGACAGCCGATCGATCGGACTAAACAAAGAGCCGGGGCGCCATTTTAGTTGACCACCCAGCGAGCTCCAGGTTGTGTGTAAGGCCTTTGTTTACCCTGAGACCCCCCCAGCACCTCTCTTCCTCTCTAGAGTTCCTTCTCAAGGGAGCAGCAGAGCTTCCTTGAGGTTTTCCTTTTTTTTTCAGCATTCGGCTTTTCTCCTTAGCCGGCTGATCCGCGGGGGACTGTTAGATCTCCGTGGCTTTTCCGACAGTTTTTGAGCCGCGGAGAGCTGATCTTCCGCGGGCATTTCTGAGCCCAGCTGAGCTGCGGAGAGTGAGACGCCTCATAGGGCTTTCCCTGGTGATCAGCCTGGCCGCGGAAATTGATACGGCTCACAGGGGTTTCCCCGGAGATCAGCTGTGCTGCGGAGAGTGTAGGAATCACCCGGTTACTTTTACCGAAGCTCCGCCGGCTGGCGGAGTGTTTGAATTCACCGCGCAGCTCCTCAGAGCCCAGCCAATAGACGGGCGCAACCGGGCCCTGCCAGCCTTTCGACAATTAGCTGAGCCGCGGAGAGTGATCAGAAACCTCTCAGTCACCATTTTTTTCTCTTCGTGTCTCCTTTTTTTTTGCAGAGAAGGGAAAGGAGGACAGTAAGCAGACCGCTCTCCTTTTTTCTCTCAAGGCAGTCGGCAGCAGCATCCCCTTCCTCCTTCCTAGCCAAGCCCCTCCCTTTCAAAAAAAAATAAAAAAAATAATCAAAAATTTTCTATCAATCAATCAAATATCTCTTTGAAGGACGGACAGTTAGGAACTGGTCAAATTCAATCCATTGTTTTCCTGAACTAAACCTGCTTAAGGCCTCTATTGAGATTTCTCCCAGTTTTTTGAATTGGGATATCTCTTTCTGCCAATGGCAGACACAAACGCTGCCCAATCAACGTAGGAATCCTCCATAAGCCCTCCTGGGCACAAGAGGCCAAGATCATCTAACCAGGAGGCAGCGGGCAGAATCAAGGCCAAAGCAATCTCTGGCAAAAGGTCTTCTAAGGCAGCGGATAAGGAGGCCAAGCGTAGACATCAGGCCCTGGAAAAACAGTTTTCTAGGGCCGAAAAGAGGCAAGCCACAGCAGAGGACGGCCTAGACCCACCTAATTACACAGAGGAGGAAATATTTGGCCCGAGGAAGCCTGGTCAGGAATCTCTGGAAACAGAGGCTAACGCAGTACAGGCAATTGAATCCCCTCTTTGTGAAAGGCCCGAAGGCCCGGGGACGATGACAGGTTTCCAAGAAGCATTGTCATCGGAACATTTACAATCTCTAATATCTCAGGCCGTCGCTCAGGCCATGGCCTCTTCAAGACACCATTGTTCCAGGACCGGGTCCATGGTTTCAAGAGTCCGTTCCCTCCTCTCGCAAGAGGAAGCCTCTGTATACCACGAATCAATCTCTCCTTCTCGATCTTCCAGAGGCAGGAAGTCTCCTGTAGAGGACTATGAACAGTCAGATCAGGGACTGTCAGAGGATGATGACATATCCCCAGACCCTCCACCGTTCATGGGTCTATTTAACCCCACCCTGTTCTAGTCCCTACTTCACAAGGCCAGCAGCACTGCCAAGATTGAAAGACCCTTGATCCCTCAGGAGGGACCTTCAACTAGTCAGGTCACAAACAACGAGGTGTTTTCTCAACCCACCTATACACAGCAATTTATTCCCTGTCCTCCTCTCTTTTTTGATTCAATCCAGAATAATATGGGGACACTGGGATCCTTTCCTCCGATGGGGGGAACAGACAAGAAGCTGTTCAATATAGACCCTGGCCTAGCGGAGGTAATAGAGGTCCCGAAGGTAGATGAGCCTGTAGCCGCGCTTTTTTCCCCATCCACGGTAGCCGGAGATGCAGCAGAGGTCCTGAAGTCTGAGGATAGGAAGGCGGATCTCACCTTCCGCAGGGCATACCAAGCCTCGGCATGGGCGATCAAGGCATCTATTTCTAATTCCTTTTTTGCTAGGACTATGTTACTTTGGCTCTGCCAACTCCAGGCGAGAATTTCCCGGGACGAGGAGAGAACCCACCAGGACTTAAGAAGGTTAGTGGCGGCAATGGAATTTCTGGCAGATTCCTCCTTACACGCAGCAAACTATTCTGCAAGGGCAATTGCACAAAACACTGCTGCTCGTAGGCTGCTGTGGCTCAAGCAATGGCGAGCCGACATCAAGTTAAAGTGGCGGTTGGCAGCAGCACCCTACAAGAGCGGCAAGCTTTTTGGTGAGGCTCTTAACCCTTATCTGGTAGGAAACAAGGATAAACTCAAGGTGTTGGTCCGCCAGTCCAAAAGAATGGAGAGGAGAGTCTCTTTCTTCCCTCGTAGGCCGTCCTTTCGATTTGAAGCAGGCCCAGAGCAGAACTCTTTTTCCCGTCCCTATCAGCCCAGATCAGACCGACAGGGCGATAGACCAGGCAGCAGGGACAGATTTAGGCAATAATTCCAGTCAAAGCGGCCTTTTCGCGGAGGGGGGCACCCCTTTCGCAAATCCAAGTGTCGGCGGGGAGGACTCCCCCATTGGTGGCAGACTGGCCCTCTTCGCACACAAATGGCAGGCCACCACCACGGACCTTTGGGTCTTAAACACTGTCAGATTCGGCCTCTCACTGGAATTCATCTCCAAACCCCCAAACCAATTCATGCCTTGCCCACTGTCAAGGGATCCAACCAAAAAGCAGCTCCTCAGGGAGGCCATCCTGCACCTTCTGGACACCTGGGCGATAGAGCCGGTGCAAAAGCAGCAACAGGGACAGGGGTTCTACTCCATATTATTTTTAATCCCAAAGAGTTCGGGGAGGGGGGGTGGAGGGCAATTCTAGATCTAAAAAATCTGAACACCCACCTGGCATACAGGAGGTTCAAGATGCAGACTCTTCAGTCAATCTTAGCGAGCGTCAGAAAGGGAGATTTCCTGACGTCCATAGATCTGACGGAGGCCTACCTTCACATCCCAATCCTGCCATAGCACCGAAGGTTTCTCAGGTTCTGCCTCGCAGGGCAGCATTATCAATACAAAGCTCTTGTCCTCGGCCCCCAGAGTATTCACAAAGGTTCTGGCGACCCTCGTTGCACACCTGTGGACAAATCCGGTGCGCATCCAGTGCTACCTGGACGACATTCTCATTCAGTCCTCATCAGTTCAGGCGGCACAGGCAGACATAGCACTGACCCTACAGGTTCTTCAGAACCATGGGTTTTCAATAAACTTTCAGAAGAGTCAAATGGTCCCATCGACCCGTCTTCTTCATTTGGGAGCAGTAATAGACACATTAAGGTGTGAGGTCTACATCTCTCGACAACGCAGGAACAGCATTCAAGCCCTGGTCAGGCTAATCCGAAGAAGACGGACCACCACACTGGCCACGCTCTCCAGCTTACTAGGGAAGATGATATCATGCATAGCGATTGTGCCGTGGGCACGGCTACACTCCAGAGACTTGCAATGGTTCCTACTCCCATTCAAGAAAGAGGGAACCGGCGCCTCCAACCGAAAGGTGAAGGTACCACCAGGAGTCATAAATTTGCTAAAGTGGTGGTTGTCTCCAGCCATGAGAAGGGGACACATGTTCAAGGAGACCGTCCGAGTTACCCTGACCACAGACGCCAGCCTATTCGGTTGGGGAGCACATCTTCAATCCAAGTTGGCACAGGGCCAATGGTCCAAGGGGGACCTGAAACACAACATAAACTGGTTGGAGCTCAGAGCTGTACATCTGGCTCTCCATCATTTTCACAGCGCAGTGACGGATCAACACTTCTAGTGCTCATGGACAATGTGGCGGCCAAAGCCCACATCAACCGATGGGGGCACGAGGTCGAGGGCCCTCATGACCGAGGCCAAATTGCTGGGAACCTGGGCCGAAAACAACCTAGCCTCTCTCAGGGTAGAGCACATATCAGGAGAAGCAAATCAACAGGCGGATTCTCTGAGCAGGGCAACAATAGACCATTCAGAGTGGAGCCTATACCCTACTCTCTTCAGGGAAGCATCAGCCCGGTTCGGTCACCCAGTACTGGACCTGTTTGCCAGCCCCAAGAATGCTCAGCTCCCAAGATTCTTCTCCTGCTTCCTGTCTCCAGGAATGGAGAGAACAGATGCCCTCCAGGGACATTGGCCGGAGGGGTTACTATACGCCTTCCCTCCACTTCCTCTGATTCAGGCAACCATCAGGAAGATATTGTAGGAACAAGCAGAGGTGATACTCATTGCACCGCACTGGCCAGTCAGGTCCGGTGCAGGGAAGAAGATTGAGCCAACAGACGAAATCTTAGCAACTTCACCTCAGTCGAGAACTGGGGAATGGAGGTCCCAGGAAGAGGCAGAGCAAAATTGGCTGACTTAGTCTACGGGCAGAAGACAAGCATAACCCATTGGTGGATTCTCCATCGTCATGCTGAGAAAAGGCGTTCAGGTAAGACAACGCCCCTTCTCAACTGTTCTGCAATAAAGAATAAACATTAGGATCTATCAATGATTTCTAAAGGGAATGAAGGGGGAAAACTATAATCTCCAGACCCCCACCTAGGTAAACTTGGTGAGCAGACTTCTGCCTTAACTCTTACCTAGAATATTGTTCTGCACAATTTTTGCCAGTCTAAGCATTAGCCCATTTTATATAATACTGCCTTGTCCGCTGGCTCTCATGGTTAGATAACTGTTTGTTGTATAGTCTACACATTTTGTAATATATAAATACGTTATAATGTGTATTAACACACTATTTTTTAGACTCATACTTTCTTCTTCCAGGCATTATTTTTAGTTGGAAAAAAAAACAGGAAACAAAGTTTCTTGATTTAAACTAATCAGAATTTTCACTTTCTCCAAATGTGAATGAGAGGAAAGATTATTCAACCCAAGATCAGGCTCTGGATTATATTGTATGCTTGAATTTAAACCATGCTTTAAACAATTTCAGGTACATCATTTTGAGAGAATTTGAAAATGGTTTTGCTTTTACCTAGTCATTTCCTTTTCATGATTCCACATTATAGGAGAGGAAGAATGTGCAAAGCCATCAGATTTCCCACTGTCAGTACATTTAAATTAAAAATACAGACTTTTGTCTGTTTTGCTTAAATGGCAATCTTTAAAATTCATCCTCTGAAGTATGCTTCTTAGAACCCCAGTTTAATCCAGATTGATGATTGATTTTGTGCCATCAAATCAACTCCTAACCACATAGATTTTGTCCATGACATGACAGTCTATCCCTAATCTGTTCTTTTAGCAGTTGTTTAATTTGGAGATTGGTTCAACATTGTATCAAGCATTACTTTGTTCTCCAATAAACATTTTGTCCAAATCATTATTTGTCTCCCATTATACCAGTTTTCAGCAAACTATGTTTCTAGTACTCCAAGTCTTTAAAAAAATAATAGAGATATGTCATAAAACATGGAGCATGCAATTATTTTTCCCTCATCTTATAGATATTACTTCTAGAGACAGAGCAATGCTAAATAACAAAGTTGAAGAGTAAATTTTAAAATATCAATGGTGTATTGTAGAAAAATGTCTTGGTTTCTTGTCTGAAAGATTTCCACAAATATTGCAAAAACAAAAAACAGTTCAAGTCTAACAATTGATTATTGAAAGGAAATATAGTTAATATTCTTTTTATGTCAAGGAGTTATAATGAACTTCTTCTCTGGCATAAAGTAACTGACAAGGGAGAGACAGAGGCCCATCCAGCAAGTAAATAGACAAACAAATGAAGGGTCAGTTACTGGAGAAGAAATCTTGCTTGTATTTAGCTTAAGTTCTGTTGATGATTGTCTCTTTCAGGATGGTGAAGACTTGATGGATGAGAGTGTATTGAAATTCTACACTCAACAATGGGAGGATTATCGATTTTCAAGCAAAGTGCTGAATGGGATTTGTGCCTACCTCAATCGACACTGGGTTCGTCGTGAATGTGATGAGGGCCGGAAGGGAATATATGAAATTTATTCAGTAAGTTGTTATAAAGAGTAATTATTTTCAGTGGAAAAAATGGCCTTTTTGTTTTGAAGGGAGAGATAAAATGTGTGGGTTGTTTTCTTTTTTGATCCACTTGTCTTCTCTTTTGCTTAAATTTTTCTCCTGCATATCAGGTATATAAAGTCATATTTTACTTTCAGATCAAAGATAAGCAAAGGAAAATCCATACTTTCGTTTCAGTTCAAAATGAAAATAGGGATAAAAATGTCAAGTTATGAATTGAATAGAGCTAAATAGTTGCTTGCTGGACCAAGAACTCTGTTTTATTATTATATGCTGTAAAATGAAGAACCTCATATTTAATTTTAAGTGGAAAGAAAGAATACATTTCTTCCACCTCTATATGCTAGATGATATCATAGGGCAGTGATGGCGAACCTTTTAGAGACCGAGTGCCCAAACTGCAACCCAAAACCCACTTATGTATCACCAGGTGCTGGGTGGGCGTGGGTGGGTACAGCCCATTGGGTGGGTGTGGCTACAATAGTCATGGCAGACTGGGTGGGCATGGCTACCTCAATGTTGCTCCTGGGGAGGGATGCCTGGGGGGGCCAGGTAGGGTTGGGGGAAATCCAGGGGGTCTCTGGCAGGTGAGGCAGGAGGCTCATCCTGCAGGGTGAGGCGAGGTGAGGTGAGGGAGGTGGCAGTGTGGGGTGCCATTGCCGTGGGGCAAGGCGAGGCAGAGGCCAGGGCAGGGGCTGGTTGCAGACAAAGGGCAGCTCCAGTAAGGAAGAGGAGGAGGAAGTTTAAGCAAGCTTAGCAGCCGGAGTGGGAGTTCCCCCCCGAAACAAACGTGCTTCGTGGGTAATCTCAAAGCACAACAGAAGAGACCAAAACCTGCTGCAACCACCCAGCAGATGGGAGGGGAATAAAAACCAAACAGCCCCCCCGCCAATCCTCAATAGAAATGCTCACAACAACGAAAGCCTCGGACAGGGACAGGGGGAAGAGTGTGGGCAGACGGGCGTCTTGCTCAGCTGATGGCTTGGGGGGGAAGGAGGCAGCTACACCCCTTCCCAAACGCTGCCCTCTCACAAAATAATAATAATAATTATTATTATTATAAACGCTGCCCTCTCACAAAAGTAGGATGAAAACTCCAAAAAGCAACAAGGAAAAAAAGTTAAAACAGAAGAGTGTCTCATGATGGTTTTCTTCCCCACTTCCTTCTAGCTGCAGTTTAAATATGTAAAGACCACAAAAGAAATAATTTGGCTTTCTCTCGTTTTAATTCAGAAGGCAGGAACGGGAGGATTGGGGGGGTTGTTTGTTTCAAAGGAAGGGAGGAATGCTTGGCAGGCAACTTCTCCCCGGCCCCTGGATGATGTAAAAGGGGCCAGTTCCCGATCCCCCCACCCAACCGTGCTCTCACTGGCTCCTGGCTGTTCTCCCGCCACCCTGACCCAACCCTCGCAGAGCCCTGACCCCGTTACCTCCGCCCGGCTTGTTCTGCGGCCTCATGGCAACAACACTGGGCAGGAGGTGGCAAACGGGCCACGGGGGCAGACGGGTTCTGCTCTCCCAAAAGGCTACCAACTCCTGGTTGGCAACCTGCCTGGTAGCCCCGCCCTGTCAGAATCTGGTCGGGGCTGGAGAGGTCATATCGGGGGTCTGGCCATCGTCACCCAGGCCTCGCTCTGCACAGAGGATGGAGCCCCATTGGAAGCTTCCTGACCGAGCCTGCGGAGGGGCACCCAGCAGGGCAGGAGGAGATGGCCCGGCTTCCCCTTGTCACTGCTGGCCATCCGGGCTCTGCGGCCCACCGCCCCCTCCCCCGCAGCTCATAAGGCCGGGGTCGTGGCTGGAGCGCGGGCATGGCCAGAACCGCTCGGGCCTCCGGCTGCCTCCTCCTGGCAGACCTGGCAGCGCTGCCTACCACTTTAAGGGGAGCAGCCACAAGGGAAGTGCCCGCCGCAGGACTCCGGGCGAACAAAGGGTGGCCCGCCAGGCAGGGACCGGAGCCATGCCTGCCCGCCTGCTCTTCCAACCGGGCATCCCGCTCGCTTCTTTCAGCTGGCCTGGTTGCAGCCGCTGATGCGGAGCCGCCGAAGCACCACCCACCTTGCCTGGAGCCGTCCCCGGCTGCCACCTTGAGCGTGCCGCCAGGGCTGAGGCCGAGAAGAGGCACAGATCTGCGCTATGCCGAAACCAGCCATTTGCCGCGAGGCGGGAAACGGCCGGTTTCAGCGTGGTGCAGTTGTTTGCCTCCGGCTAGAGGCAAACAGCCAGCAAATGGCCGGGTTTGGCGTAATGTGGATCTTTGCCTCCTCTCAGCCTTAGTCCTGGCGGCACGCTCGCCTCCCGCGGCAGCTGGGGGCGGCTCCTGGTAATGCGGGTGGCACTTCGCAGCCTCGGTCAGGAAGCCTCCAATAGGGCTCTGTCCTCCATGCAAAACAAGGCCTGGGTGGCGATGGCCGGCCCCCCCAGCATGGCCTCTCCGCCTCCAACCCGACCAGGTGCTAACAGGGCGGGGCCGCCGGGCAGGTTGCCAGCCAGGAGTTGGCCTTTTGGGAGAGCAGAACCCCCGTCCGCCCCCATGGCCCAGGTTGCCAGCGCCTTCTGATCTGGGGCGAGGTGGTCACAGCTGGCCTTTGACTCCCAGAGGCCGCAAGGGCGGCCCACAGCGCAATGAGTAGCAGCCTGCCATGGCAGGGGGAGGGAAGATTGGTGCCCCAAGGAATGGAAAGAGTGGAGCAAACGGTCCCCCGAGCCGCCAAACGGATCGACCTGCTGCTGCCGTTCCCCCCTGCATGGATCATCATGCTGTCACAGCCGTTCCCCCCTACCCGCCGCACCATCTCGCCGCCGCCGTTTCCCTCCCCTGCACGGATCGCCGTGCAACTGCCGCCATTTCCCCCCCCACCTACTGCACGGATCACCCTGCATTTGGAAGTTGGATCCATGGCCACGGGGCGATTTTACAGCGACCCAGCGGGCCGATCCGAGCTCCAGAGGCTTGGAAAAGGCCTCTGCCACCTGGATTGGCCGGGAGGGCGACAAATTGCTCTGCAGGCTTACTTAGACTCGCACTGGCAGCTGCCTCCACCATCCAGCCCAGATCCACACAGCTCTTGCAGCTGCTCTGAATCAGAGTACAGATAGATAGATAGATAGATAGATAGAGAGAGAGAGAGAGAGAGAGCAGGCGCATGTGGAGAGGTGGAGGGGAGCAGCCTGGCCCTGCCTCCCTCAGGCGATGGCACACGTGCCCACAGGGACGGCAGGCGGCACGCGTGCCATAGGTTCACCATCACAGTCATATGGGTTGACGAGCTGAAATTCTTGTCTTCTGCATTTTTCATGGAATCACTCAAAAAGTGTTTCTTCTGCCTTTTTCATGGAATCAAAAAAGACACAATCAGAAGGCCGTAAAGAAATTTATTTTCTTAAAGTGTTGTTTTGTGACTTATTTTCATTTTACATGTAGGCTTTGCAAATAAGCATTTATCCCTTTTTTTGATTGGTCATAATCAATTCCATTATTTTACAATGTTTAAAGCAACTTTATTTGAAGAGTTAATTTTTTACAGCCTTGATAAAATGTAGTAATTTAGTTGTTGCAGTTTGATGTATCATTTTTCCTTCTATAACTAAGGAAGTGTTCTGCTGTGGAGCCCTGCAATGTTTTTATCAGTATTCTTCTTAGAAATTTGTTTTTTGGTTTCTGGCCCCTGTACATCTTTTTCATATTCTGACATACACTTTCTTTGTATTATATCCAGTGTACATGCTACACAGAAAGTCCTACTTTAGTATAATTCATATCCACATTTGAGATTGATTATTAGCGCTATGATTACATTTGGAAGAGAGAAAGTGACACTTATGAGTAATATCCTTCAATTTTAATGTTAAATTTTCTTAATACTAACAACTGTATTGAAAAGTAAACCGTGTCATGATTGTCTGCTTAAATTTGTCTAAATTTTATATTAAAAATGTACGTTTTACCTTGAATTTACAGAAATGGACCTGTATAAAAAGTTAAGGTTGAAGCTTGCCCTCTTGTGTTCTGGTTCATATCAGAAATATTATAATATAGAGCAGTTGTGAGATTCAGGGCCTCTTAATTAATGGCTCTAATGAATAATATCCTCTCACTTTACTGGTGTCCCATGACAGTGTGATAGACACAAATTTGAACAATGTTCTTGAAGAAAGGAACATTTGAAAACCGGAGAACATGCAATATTATAGATAAACCATGAGTACAGGAATAAGCATTTCTAATATTTATCTTTTTAAATCTTAGCTTGCACTGGTGACCTGGCGGGACTGTTTGTTCAGGCCACTAAATAAGCAGGTAATATTTCTATTGATAGATATATTAGCTTGACTTTGTGTGTGTGTGTTTGTGTATGTGTGTAAATGTAGCAAAAACAGTATTAGTGGAGAGGGACTATGACGTGATTTTTAAAAATTTATTCCAATCTCAGTCTGCCTAGAAAAATTATGAATAGAATAAAAATTTGTTTATTGTATCATCATATTCCTGGGCCGTAACTAATTTAAAACCAAATTTGAGAATTTGGCGAATGGTAATATGATGAAAAATAGATTATTATTCTGTGTATAACTGAGATAGTTAGATTTCATTATACATTTATTGCCTATGATTTAATACTGCAAATTATTCATTCATTTTATCTCTATTTTAAAAAATCATTTAAATAAAAAGTATGGGGATGGAGAAACATTAGCAGCTAAATAAATTAGAGATGAAATAATTAAAAAGATCATAAAGTTTAACATGAGAGAGCCACGTTGTCAACTTTAAAAATGAGCATGGCTGTGGCCATCTTCCTTATTCATTTTTTATGGACACATTGAAAGGAGGGAGAGGGGATTGCCAGGTGCTTTGCTAGTCTAAATAAACTTTTGTCCTGTGGGAACCAAGGTCATTGGCTGGTCCCAAGACTGCAGGCTGGGCGTTTCGTGAAAAGCCCGCCAAGAAGATGTATTGGGGAACGTAGTTGCTTGCATAGCCTTAGGAGTGGGATTTCTTAACTTTGTATTGGGGAATTGTTACATGTATCTTCAGACTTGGCTTCACTTTTCATGTGCCGATTATTTGTAACTAATAAACATGTTCTTTGAGGAAATTCCAAGCCTCGGAGTTCTGCTTTATTTGTCCCTGTCTATCGCAACCATGACAGAATGGTGATACAGAATATATGTTAGTTTCTAAAACTGCTATAGTGTGGAATGCTTGTGGCAGGGGTGGGGGAGGCAATTTGAATTGTTTGCCTCAGGCATCTAATGGAGCTACTTGGTTTCCAGAAAGTTCTTAGTTTCCTAGAAGTTTGGAGAGCAGTTCAATTTAGACCCAAACCAATCTCTAAAACCTTGAGAGGATTGCTCCTGAACAACTTCTCTGTTTAGTAATCTTAGTGATTCATTGATTCTCTGAGGAGTTCCAGGATATGAAATACCACAAGAAATGTCCAATGCACTGTTGATGAAAGATAGAAGAATCTTCCTAGACATTGATATGAATACTAAGTCTGGGTAGCATGATAAGTGTGCAAGAGAAACTTTCCTTAATGCAATCATTGAATGCTGTATGAACAACCTTTTTAAAGGTAATCCAAATCTTATAGATAAGGACAGGCTGCAAATACTGATATTCAAATACAATGAAATATCAGCTGAGTTACTTTTCAGATAAAATGTCAGGACCCACTTCAAAACCTCATCCCAAGAAAGCAGGACTCTTGGAGCAGATTCATTCCAAAAGAAACTTTGAGTATATAATGATGCTGTTTCGGCTGACCAACCCCCCTGCAGTTTTTCAACACTTCATGAATGACATATTCCGGGATCTGTTAGATCAGTTTGTCGTGATCTATTTGGACGACATTCTGATCTATTCCCCTTCACGGGAGACACACCATCAGCATCTCCATCAGATCCTGCAACGGCTCTGAGATCATCATTTGTATGCCAAACTGGAGAAATGCCAATTCTATCAAATAACCATTGATTTCCTAGGTCATCGCATTTCTCCTGAGGGCATCGCCATGGAGCCGAACAAGGTCGAGTCTCTGCATAGTTGGCAACCCCCACGTTGCGTTAAAGATGTCCAGCGACTCCTTGGGTCTGCCAACTACTATTAAACCTTCATCCCTGGTTTTGCTTCCATGACTGCACCCCTCACTCGGCTCCTGCAGAAAAAGACCCGGTTTCATTGGGATACTCCGGAGCAACAGGCTTTCCAGGCTTTAAAGGAAGCCTTCATGAAGGAACCCATCTTGAAACATCCTGATCTGCAACGGCCATTTGTTGTGGTGCCCTCTTTGTGCATACTACTCGTGGAAACAATCTGGCCTAGTGCAACTACACCATCTGGAGAAGGAGCTACTAGCCATCAAAATGGCATTTGAGGCCTGGAGGCATCATTTGGAAGGGGCTCGGCATCAAATTGAAGTCTGGACGGACCACAAGAATCTGGAAAGCTTGCAGACTGCCTGGAAATTGAACCAACAACAGATTTGGTGATCTCTCTTCTTTGCTAAGTTCAATTTCCGTGTTACCTGCATACCAAGCGATCGCCACCAAAGAGCGGATGCTCTGTCAAGGAAGCCAGAATATTCCCGTACAGAAGACAAACTTCTGCCCAGGACAGCTCTCCCCACAGAGTCTTTCTCTGGAGTTTGGGAGCCAAGATGTACGGGCTCGGATTTGGGAGGCACAACAGCATGATATGTGGGTGGCTCAATGAAGGGAGGAGTTGGAGCCAGACTCCCTATGGACCATCACAAACGGACTCCTGAAATATTGTGATTGGCTCTATGTTCCAGGAGGGCCACTCAGAGGGCTTATTCTTAACCAATGTCATGATAATCCAGCGGCGGGGCATTTTGGCCTGCTCAAAACACTGAACATGATCTCCCATACATTCTGGTGGCCCCGAGTACGACATGATGTGCAGGCCTACGTCACATCTTGTATACAGTGTAGGTAGGCCAAGTCAGTGACGGCCCCACCAGCTCTTCTTCAGCCCTTGCCAACGCCTGAAAGACCCTGGGGGGCAGTGTCAATGGACTTATTGACGGACTTGCCCCCATCTTCTGGCTTCATGATGGTATTTATGGTGGTGGACATGCTGACCAAGATGGCACATTTCATTCCTTGCTGTGGCTTGCCGTCAGTCCGCGCCACCATTCACATGTTCATTTAGCAGGTTTCCTGGCTGCACGGCCTCCTTGATAGGGTCGTTTCAGATAGAGGGGCTCAATTTACGGCCCGTTTCTGGAAGGGGTTGATGAAGGCCCTAGACGCAAAAATCTGCCTTTTGTCAGCGCATCATCCGCAAACTGATGGTGGGACAGAGAAAGTAATCAGAATCCTAGAACAATACCTGCGTGTTATGTGAATCAGCAACAGGACAATTGGGCAGACTATCTTGCGGTAGCCGAGTTCGCGTTTAACAACTCATAACACACCTCCACGCATATGACATCGTTCCTGGCCAATCCCTGGCTTTTTCCCCTCTCGCAGCTCGACTCGCCAGTTCCTACAGCTAACGAATATCTGGCCGAGTTACGGGCTATCCATCAATTGGTGTGGCGACAATTAGATAAGGCCAAGGCGGATTACAAGAAGGTTGCCAATCGGTCGAGGCGAGATATGCCTACATTAATGGTGGGACATTGGGTGTGGCTTTCAACCAGGAACCTGCCATAAAATCGGCCTGCCAAGAAACTAGACCACTGGTACGTAGGACCATTCCCTATTGAAACCGTCATCAACCTGATCGCTTATCGGTTAACTTTGCCACGGTTGTTACTGGTACATCCAGTCTTTCACCAGTCTCTGCTGGTCCCAGAACAGCCGGCGTGTCCACTTCGATGATCAGAACATCCCCCACCGGAACAACATGATGGAGACAGCACTCCTGAGTATGAGGTCGCCAGTATTTGAGACTCCTGTTGGCTGAAAGGGCGATTTCTGTATTTGATTGAGTGGAAGGAGTATGGACAAGGAGTTCATCTGGGAGGATGCGACCAATGTCCATGCTCTTGCCTTGATGACAGCGTTCTACAAACAGTTCCCTTCACAACCACATCCAACCCGGCAGACTTGGGGGAAGGATCCTGCAGTGCGGGATAGTGTTGTGATTCCTTGCCAGCCAGTGGATCCGGCAGCTGAGTCTGAGGAATCAGGTGAGGAGGAGGGGCCTGGAGTGATATTAGAGTCAGAGGAAGGCTCTGAGGAGCTCCAAGATTTAAAGTCAGATGAGAAGCCTGGCCCCTCTACTCACACTCAGGCTGAGACAGCTATGCTGGGAGCCTGAGTTGGACAGTGATGAAGAACCGTTGGGACAAATCCAGGATGCATGAAAGCTCCGGCAAGAGAAGCGAGTAGGAAGAGTAATGCAATGGGGCAGCTCTAAAGGCAAAGGAGAAGGCATTAGGAAGCCACACCTTGGCTGAATGATAAAAGGGAAGGTTTGGGAGGTGCTGGTTGCCAAAGGGAATCGTTTGTGTTGAGGATCGAGTTTCTGTGGACTGTGTTTGCCTTGGACATTGACTCAAGTCTGTGAGAATAAAAGGGGTTGTGTTTTTCTTACAGTTCCTGCCTGTTTCTTGGAAGAGGGGTTTCTCCTTGTGAGCATAACAAGGACTCACGTAGGCTGGGACAGAACAATATCTTCCGGCCAGTTCAGCTTGCTGGCCAGGGCCCAGAATTCTTGGGTGTATTCTGCCATGGGCTGTTGCCCTTGCCTGACAGTTTTGATGTGTTCCCATGCTTTCCAAGCAGCCAAGGGGTCTTCAGATCTGCGTCTGAGGGCTGCCATGAATTGATTGAAATTCTGCAGTTCTGGGGCATTGGCATCGTGGAGATCCACTACCCAGTCTGCTGCGGTGCCATCTAGGGCTGCTTGCACAATCCGTATTCAGCCACGATCACTTGGTATGTCTCAGCCATATTCCTTCATGTAGTTCAACACTTGGGTCAGGAAAAACCCCAGCCGGCGCGGCTCCCGCAGTACTTCACTCTTAGCGGTGGGAACTTTCAGATAGATTGATATCCCTTCTTCCGCCTGTGTTGGTGTGCATCTCCATCGGCCGGTGTGGCTTGCCCGGGGGTGGCAGCGGCGGTAGCAATGGCTGCTGCTTCCATGGCACTGGAAGGGCTTGGGACTGCTGGTTCACACCCTCCCTTCATCTGTTCCTTCGGCTGAACTTGGGTTAGCGGTTCCCTGGCATGGGTCAGCTTTCTCTTCCCTCATGGAATCAAAGGCAACTCTCAGTATGTCGATAGCTTGCTCCAGGAACCGCTGGAATGGGGCGGTTGGTCCTCATCTTCACTAAGGCAAAGCTACCTCTTCATCTCGACCTTCCAACCCGGCTGGTGACTGCCATGTCTAAGCATCACTTTCGTGGATCTCTTCTCCCAGTCCTCCTTCCCGACACCCATCGACTACCTGGGTTTGTAGTGGCATTCCACGATCCCCACCTCGTCCAACGAGCTCGAGGATTGAGAACTGTATCGGCTGGGCTCTTCATTCCAATATCAGACATTGTTTGCTTAGCCCTCCAGCAAGGATTTTCCTTCTGGGTTGACTATTACTGCAGATCCTGCCTAATGTCAGGACCCACTTCAAAACCTCATCCCAAGAAAGCAGGACTCTTGGAACAGTTTCATTCCAAAAGGAACTTTTATTAGGAGAAACTGATAGTAGGCATAATAGGCAGGATCTGAGGGTTTCCCACTCAATAGGTTAAAAGAATCCCAAGTAAACCCCACCCCAATAGTCCATCCGGTCAGTTTGAATGGGCCAATCCCAAGTCACTGTGGGAATGGAGCTGATAACGGGGTCCATTCCCATGGTTGTGAAGATGTTGTTAGGTCTTTGCACCCTCCCTTCTGCAGCAAGAGATAAGCCAGATGGCTGGAGGCACATTTCTTTCTCACCCCAAGGCAACATCAAGGGAGAGAAAGTTCAAAGAGCAAGTTGGTAGAAACAGCGGAAAGGATACATTGTAGCAGAGGAGAGAAACATAACGCTGAGCCTTCCCCCCTCGCCCTCAGGAGAATGGCAGAACCCTCAGAAAGAAATGAAGAAGAAATGAAATAGGTCCCCCCTAGGGAAAGAATGGGTTCTGACATAAACTTCCTCCTTCACCTTAACTTGGCTGGATGATGTGAACTGCTGAGCAAAATGTCCTGCAGTGTTATCTGTAAAGGGTTTGATCCTGTGGATCTTGAGGAAGTGGACAGAAAATTTTGTGGAATGAGCTATGAATCAGCAAAATTTTTCTATAAAGGGCAAGATTATAAAAATACTTTAAAGTATTTATTTCTCGGTGAAGTGGAATTACATGGGAAAGAGCCACTGCTGTTGTGCCCTCCCTCTGGCCTTTTGACACCCCAGCACAGTACAGTGGTACCTCAGTACTCATCATTAATTGGTTCCAGGAGGAGCAATGAGTACCAAAAATGGTGAGTACCAAAACAAATATTTCCCATAAGGAATAATGTAGTGAGTCATAAAGCAGCCGACATCAACAAGTTCTAGCTTGTGCAACAAGTACCAAATAAATGACGAGTACAGGACAAAATGCAGTTGAGTACCAATGTGCCACTGTAGCTCAGCCTTTGCAGCTTGACAGCCCAGCTTGGCGAGGGGGGGAAGGGGGCATGTGAGTGGCGGGCTGGTGCCTATGTGTGTATGTGCACAGCTCAACTTGCACAAGATGACCTGCGCACAAAAGTGGGTGTGAGTGCACACCAGCCTGCCACTTGCATGGCCTGCTTCTGAATAGGCCATGGCCCAGTAGTGGGCCACGGCCCAGGATTGGAGACACCCCTGTGTGGTGCAAGCAGTGGCAGTTAACTTTGGAGACTGTAGCAGGCCTGAAATGCCTCAGTGGGTGCAACAAAAAGGTATATAGGCCAAGTTGCATGGTAACTGTTAGCAGTGCTGGACCACCAGTAAAAAGGATTGCCACACATTGTCTTGCTGTCAACGTTGGCTTTGTCCCATGGAATCTGTCATCTCCCATCTGTTGATTCTTATCTTGCAGGTGTACCAAAAGAGATAGAGGGCCAAATTTGCCCTGTGAACTGTAGTTTTCACAATCATAAGCTAGGCTAACCATGGACTAGCTCCCTTACCTATCTGGCGATATGTAGGGAGAGAATAGGAGCTTGGATCTGAACTATTGTTAATGCTTCATTATGGGAGGGGAAATTTCCTATATCTTTGAAGAAGCACTGTGTACCTTCATAAGGAACCACTCTTGGATTCAATAATTTTAAACTGCTAAGACTCCAGCTTTCTCTGGAAGAGAAGATAATGAGTCAGTAGCTCTTTTCAGTCAGGACTTAGATGTGGGCATGGATTAAAAATTGAATTGTTTGCTCTTATTTCTAACCTTTTGTGGGACTTAAACAGGGATTTGCTAGTCTGACTGAATTATTTTGTGTTCTTAATAGACTGTAGTGCCCTTTGGAACTCTTGCAGGAATTGAAGGTTGGAGATACAATTTTACAGTAATTCTTTTCCTTCCTGAGCAGACAGATAGTTTTCACTTACAACCACAATTGAGCCCAAAATTTCTGTTGCTAAAGCGAGACAGTTATTAAGTGAATTTTGCTCCATTTTATGACTTTCTTGTCACAGTTAAGTGAATCACTGTTAAGTTAATAGCACAGTTGTTAAGTGAATCTGGCTTCCGCATTGACTTTGCATAGCAGAAGTTGCAAAAGGTATTCACATGCCCCCGGGACATTGCAATTGTCATAAATATGAAACAGTTGCCAGGCATCTGAATTTTGATCATGTGACCATGGGGATGCTGCAATGGTTGTAAGTTTGAAAACGGTCATAAGTCACTTTTTTCAGTGCCTTTGTAATTTCGAATGGTCACTAAACAAACTTTGTAAGTCGAAGTACCTGTAGCTCTAATTGATGCATATGGATATGAAAAGACCAATCAAGCCCTAAGATACTGCAGTTTGGAGCGTCATAGAGCTCACTTTATCCTCTATCCTTTTCATCATCCCCATGAAATCATTTGATGCTTTGGAGTACAGTATCATCAATATGTTGTTAATATCTAGTTGTATTTCTTTATCATGTTTAATAACTCATGTGTACATAATATTCAATAGTTAAATTTTAATGTTAAACCCCAGTAATTAAAAAAACTGAAATGCAAAAATGCTAACCTCATAAAGAGCTGAATGTATTAACCCGAGGTCTGTTGCAATACGTTCTGGATAATAATAGGCCATAGTTAAACCGTTTCAATTGTCTCATTAATGTATCATTAATAAAGGTCTAAAAATCTGCATGGGATTTTGAGTGGCATGTACTTCAAAAAATAAATGGGGTGAAGACCAAAAATAAATTTTATTTATTTGAATAATTTTTTGAACAATTCAAATTATTCTTCCCCGGTATTTTATGTAAAATTATTACATTAATGTATTAATTTTCTTCCATTTTATTAAACATAATATTTTGGTGCAACATTTGGAAGGAATCTAACGATTACATCTGAGGGTTTTGGGCATTGCATGCCACCCAGGTACTCAAAGTATTCTATTTACTATAAAAAGATCCATTATATTATTGGAGTGATTGTATATTTGTCCAATTCATATTTTCAAAGGTTACAAATGCTGTATTGAAGTTGATTGAAAAAGAAAGAAATGGCGAAACTATCAATACAAGACTGATCAGTGGAGTTGTGCAATCTTATGGTAAAATTAATATTAATGATTGTTGGTATTTTTTGTTTTATTTTCTTTATCCCATTGTAAAGATTAAAACTTGGTTTATATTCAGTCCCTTCTTGTTTCTATGTAAAGGAATTTGAAATGTGTAATATTTGTATCTTTTCCCATATCTACAACATATATATTAAGCCTGATCAGATGTCCACTTTGAGTTCCTTTTGTTTACTTTTCTTACTTTAATCCTGTCATATCTCACAAGTGAATTTTTTTATTGTTTTCTGTTTGTCTCCTCTTAAGAATTTCATTAGTTTCACATATCTCTTTTGTAAATCAAGATAATAAAGCTTTCCAAGTTACTCAACTTGTATATATTCTTTAATTAAGACATTTACTGGTTTCATTTGTAAATCCATTGTAGCATGTTTTTCCATATCACTGTTTAAAAAATCCAAATCCACATTCAAATCAGCTTCAGTGTTTGCTTTATTCAGTAAAATTTGTTGTTCTTCTGTATCCTCAGTGATAGCATTAGATAGTCTTGTAAGTGATTTCTGAGAACACTGTTTCCAAACATCCTTACTTTCTTCTGTAGTCAAATAGTACAGGTAGTCCTCAAATAACAACAGTTTAGTGACCTTTAGTGATCATTCAAAGTTACAATGGCACTGAAAAAAGTGACTTATCACCGTTTTTCACACTTACAACCTTTATAGCACCCTAATGATCATATGATCAAAGTATTTTAAAACATCCCACTTGTATTTTTTTTCATTCTTTTATATCTATCTTCTTCCTTTCCAAAATCAACATCTAAGACCGCTTTTTGCTGTTTCCAAAAATTAAGGCTTTTCTTTTCAATCATATTTACATAGATATTTACTAAGTCATAAAATTTGTTCATTTCTGTATTCAGAGATAAAAAATGCTAGAAAAAGAACAAAAACCCTATTTGTTTTGCTACAGTTAGGCTTTTTTTCTATATTTAATAAGATAAATAAAAAATTAATAAAACAATAGACAAAAACAATGCATAACCATATAACATATAGTTTCTTAGGCATACATGGATATAGATGTATATAATTTTATATGATTATTTCAATAAACGATTACCATGTTTCACTATAATTGTCCTTTCATAATCTATTATCTGTAAACAATTTATAAATCATGAGTGACATCAATCCGCTGAGTAATTGGGGCCATAATTTTTTTCCCAATGTTTCCAGAAATAAGGCTGTAGAAAGTTCACTTTCATTGTCCAGCTGTCAGTTTCCATGTAATAATTCAAAAGGTGTGCATCTAAAATATTCAGCTTCATCTTAAAATCAGCTTAATGCTTCATCTCAGAATTTTCAAATATTATAAAAAATATTTTGGACTTACCAAAACCCAGTAAGTTTATATTTAAAAAGAATAAATCATGATGTTGGTAGAGATATAAAATAGAATAACACTTCATTAAAGCACGCATTTTTTCTGGACTTCTGCTTGTGAACAATCTGCAGGAAATATGAAAAAAAAATCACTTCCTTTGCTTTCCATTCAAGTATCCCCATTTTTCATGAGAAACATAGACTAGGTTTAGACTAATACAAATTTTTTATTACCTAAATCAATAAAACCAGACAGTTCCAAACAGCCAGTTTTTGAAGTAGGTACCGTATTTTTTGCTCTATAAGACGCACCTGACCATAAGACGCACATATCTCCTTGATTAGTTTCCACCCATTGTTTCTTGTCTTGCCTTCTGGGGCTTTGGAAAATAAATTGATCCCCTCCTCTTTGTGACAGCCCCTCAAATACTGGAATATTGCTATCATGTCAACCCTAATCCTTTTCTCTTGACTGGCCATACCCATTTCCTGCAACCGTTCTTCGTATGTTTTAGTCTCCAGGCCTTGACATTTTAGTCTCTCCCATTTCCCAGCAGAAAATTACAGGTAGCAGTTTTAAATCATGCAGCATAAGGATAATAACATTTGGAAAGAGAAAGAATATGCTGCAGCAGCCAACATGTTCCAGCCTTGTCCCTTCGCTTCCTCCAGGCTTCTCCCCCAACCTGCCTTCCACTCACCTTCCATTTGCTGTTTCGAGCCTGGGAAGAACACTCCTACATCCTCNGAGGAAGTTCCTCAGCCCTTCTCCTCTCCGCGACTTCCTTTCTAGCAATACTCGATGGTGTTGTGTTAGAGCGCCACCTAGTGCCAGTATATGCTCTCCTCCCCTGCACTCAGGCTTCAGCTCCAGGCAGCATTCGCTCCATAAGACGCACAGACATTTCCCCCCACCTTTTGGGGGAGAAAAAGTGCGTCTTATAGAGTGAAAAATACGGTAGTTTCTGATTCTCCTCTTTAAACAAGTGGGAAAAATCATGGTTTTTTTTCTGCCACCTTGATTTCGTAAATGTGAAAAATTAAACGGAAGTTAACAGCTGGTCAGTAATTTAGAGAATGATAATTAAAGTTGAGAATTGCCTAACTCTAATCTAAGGTTTGTGGAAAACTTTCTACTATGTAGTGAGGGTCACATGTTTTTCAAAGGATTGAGTTGACTAGTATCACTTCACACTTTCCTGTTATATTTTCTTTTGTTAAATGTAGATTTAGATCCTGTATAACAGGTAAAATTTTAATAAACTTCAACAGTATTTGAAATTAAATTTATTTAATACTAATAATTCCTTTGACGAAGCATCCCTATTATGAATAAATTATGTCTGGAACTTATTTCTAAGAAGATATACATGGGATTAGACTGCAATTCTTGAAACAATAGCCACATTTTTATTTTGGTTTCAGGAAGAAAGACATTATTTTGTTCTTGCAGCCTTCTCTGCAATCATTCAAATTTAACTTCTTTTTAAAAATTATATAATTGTGCATTTAAATAATATCTTAGATGCTTTATTATAATTTATAGCCTGAATTTAAATTGTTCTTTTCTATCCTATTGAAAACTTTTATTAAAAGTTGAACACTTTTAAATGAGGTAAAATTCCATTATATCTGCTAAATGAAATCTGTGCTATTTAAGTAAACTTATCCTAAAATTAATTTTGTGCCTTTTTTTTTTAAATTTGTGTGCTTTTAGTGGAGCTGGGACTGAATGAAGATGATACTTTTGCTAAGGGGCCTACATTGACTGTATATAAAGAGTCTTTTGAATCTCAATTTCTTGCTGACACAGAAAGATTCTATACAAGAGAGAGCACTGAATTTTTGCAGCAAAATCCAGTTACAGAATACATGAAAAAGGTACTATAGTTATATTGCAAGTTCCTGGTTCTAAAAATAATTGGTACTATATTTGAAGTAGGAATTTAAGTACCTGTTTTGCCTGGTAGTTGCTGAACTGCAAGTAGGAGCTAGCTACAAAGCTAAACATACATATAGTGAATATGTGTTTTTCTTTGCCTTGTTTAACTAAAGCTATGAGATTTAGATCCAATATTGAGGTATTAATAAATAAAAGAACTGAAATAATTCTTAACTGCAAACAGAAGGAAACTTCTGAAATATTACAGCTATTTCAAGAATGAAAAATAATAAGTAAACATGGAATCTTGAAATATTTAACATAGTTTTAAAATTTTAGAAACAAGTGTAAATCAGAAAATGCTAAAATAAATTAGCAGGTTAAATAATGGATTATTTATGGATTATTCTTACTCCCTTCTTAATTGTTTCTGGATAAAAATACTGAAACAAAATTACAGAGATATGACATAATTACTCTTCAAGTATTTATGGTGTATGTTTCTATGTCTTAATGATTTATCCTCCAAATTATTTGTCATAATTCTAAATTCTAGTGTTGGTATATGTGATATGATCATTTCTTAGATCTCCTCAAGGAGACAAAAAAGCTATTTAGGAGGATTTTCTGACATTAAAGGTGAGGGCAATTCTAAGACAACTCCTTTTATCTCTTAAAACCCCTCTATTCCCCATTCCCCCAGAAAAAGTTGGCCAGCTCTGGAAGTTTTGTGTATTGTATTTCCATTCAAGTGTAGTTGTACACCTATTTTATAAGTTCTATAAACAGCTAGTTTGAATCTGGAGTTTGTGTAACTGTTCCATGGAGCAGTTGCAGGACATAAACAGTGCCTTTTTTAAACAAGAGTTGCATTTTAAATTATTTTACATTTGGAATTTAGACAACTTGTATTTATTTTACAGGCAGAGGCTCGTCTTTTGGAGGAACAGCGTAGGGTCCAGGTATACCTACATGAGAGCACACAAGATGAACTAGCACGGAAATGTGAACAAGTACTAATTGAAAAACACTTAGAAATCTTTCATACAGAATTTCAGAACTTATTGGATGCTGACAAAAATGAAGGTGAACTTTTCCATGTTTAATTGATAGTTACTTTTAATAAATTATGAATTGAAGGTTGAGCTTGTTTCCATATGACTTACATTCCTGGTATGATTTGGAAATAATTTCTCATCATCATCTACCCACCAAGAGTTAACTGATTGCAGTTGGGTAATATCAAATATGAAAGTATTTTGGTTTCTCAGTGAATGTTTTCATTAATTTGTCAGAAATTAAAGTTATGCTCTTATGAAAATTATTAACTTTGATTATTATTCCTGAAGTGCTTTATTATCAAATTGCAAGTTTTTTTAAAAATAAGCTTTGTATTTTGATATTATTTTTATGTCATAGATTATAAAATATAGTTTAATATTGAAATGAAAATATTCTCCCTGGCATTTTGCTCTCTGAAGCTAGATGCATTGTTATAGATTTAGTTGATTATTTTAGTATATTTTCAGATCTTAATCTCTTCCTAATTCTTAGATTAATAACTGAGATGGTGACATAAAATATTAATGCAAATTAAAATAAGTCTTGCTTCCTTTTCCCTCCCAGATTTAGGACGCATGTATAACCTTGTGTCTAGAATTCAGGATGGCCTTGGAGAACTGAAAAAACTTTTGGAAACTCACATTCATAATCAGGGTTTAGCTGCCATTGAAAAATGTGGAGAAGCTGCATTAAATGTGAGTATTAGATTGACCACGTGTCTTAAATTCATATCATATTCATTAACTGAGTCTGAAGAAGTTTGCATCAAATTTCAAAAGGAATAGTAACTCAAGATTTCATTTAGGGGGGGTCATGAATATCCATCATGATATCAAGATTTTAGGACTGTACATGTAGCAGACAAGAATGAACCATTTCTCATTCAAAATTGATTGTACCATCTTGCTACTTAGTCTTCTACAGATAGTCAAGCTTTGCTATGAAAAATCTGTTATTGTGAATATTTAAACAAGCATGTTCAAATTATTTCAGTAATTTTACGCTGTTCTTTGTGTGATTCAAAATTTTTGTTGTTTTCAAAAAACTTGAAAGTAGCTTTCAATTACATTCACTTATAGAGGCAGGACAATAATAATTACCGATAGGAAAGAATATTTGTAGCTCATGATTGAACTGTGGGGTCCCTGATACTCTGAAAATAACAAGGTCAGAGATTACTAAGAACTCCGCAATAATAATGTGTAATAGGCTTTGGGGGAATAGAATGTAAAATCATTGCATGCTTCAATTGAAAAGTATATTCTTGATTTTTTCAAGAACATATCTTTTGTCAGCAATAAACTATTTTCTTTTTCCACTTGGAAGATTAAATAATAGAACAAATAAATTACTTTCTTCAATGAGAAAACAATGGAAAATCTTAAATGATATAAATGTAGCATTTTATTACAAAACGGGCACATGACTAGAATTCTACTCCATGTTTTTTGCCAAATATATCAAATGTAGACCAGCTTTTTCTGATGATACAAGTATCTGCCCATGTTGGTACTTTCTGAATGGGTACATGCAGGCTACAATGAAGCTACTGCTGTGGTAGCAATAAAAGAAGGAGGTGCCCATATTTAAAGATTACACATATATGTTTCTTTTAAAATTACTTCCTGAGAAAAAAATGAGTTTCAATCACTTGGAAATAGTTTCTGCATACAAGTAGTCCTTAGTTAATGACAATAATTGGGACTGGAATTTGTCTTTAGAAGTGATGTGGTCATAAAGTACAACATTACATGACCATATTATTTAGAAATGGCAATTCTAACAGTCCCGGTTACTGTTGTTAAGCGAGGTTTATGGGTCATTAAATGTTACAGCTTCCTGCCACTTCTAACAATCATATCAGTGGGGAAGTTGGCAGAAAGCTGTAAATAACAGGTTGCTCACAAGTGGGTCAGCTGGTAGGTAAGTAGCTGCTGCATGGTGGGAGAGGTACAAAAAGATCTAGTACCACATAACTATAGAAATATTTATGGGGCAGGGAAGGGTATGAAAGGGTCTAGCTCAGTGCAAGGCAGGGAAGTTTGGGGTAGTTGCTGCAGGGAAAGGGAGAGTTGAAAGCACACACTAGTGCAATGAAGCTTGGAGTGGCGGCTATAGGGCAGGGGAGAGTGCACAAGGTTGTGGTGCTGCATGGCACAAGTGCAGGAAATGCTGGATAGGTCCAACTGGAGGTGACTGTTATGGGGCAGGGGAAAGCGCAAAATAGTCTTGTGCAGCATGAGCACAGCAAGATTTCAGGTAGCTCCTGTGGGATGGGAAAGTTTGCAAGGTTCTGGTGCAGAAAAAAATATAGACTTGCAGTAGCTGCTGCCAGTGAAGGAGAACATGTGGTCTGGCATAATATAAGCAAACCAAGACATTGAGTGGATGCTTCTGGATAGGGGAGATTTACTTGAGCAACTTGCAACTTCCCTGCTGGCTTCCCTATTGATTGCTTGTGGGTTTCATTTTTTCCCCATTTCAAGCACAAAGTTCAGAAATGATTTTCAGGTGGAAACAAATTTTTCTCCTTAATTAAGACAGTTTTGTCAGCTCCACCAATTCTATCACCTTTACCATCCATTCTTCCATTGTGGGAATTGATATGTCTTTCTGTCTCTGGGCATACAAATATCTTGCTGCAGTTAACGTATATAATTGGGGTGTATGGGGTGTTCAGGGAGGGGTAGCACCTCTGGTGGAGGGCATGTCGTGCTCTTTTTAGGGCAGCTCGTACACCTTTGGTCCCCACCTGACACTCAGCTCTTTGGACCCCACCTGACACTTTGGTCCCCACCTGACACTCAGCTCTCACCTGTGGCTCCTAGTAGCTGTAACATGCGCAGCGGCCACACCCCGGACAACAGCTTCGACAGGCTGGCCAAATCAGGTCGAGAGTAGCCGTTGTGTCTTTGACATTCGGTGAGCAAAGGATTTGTCTATCCCGAGCATGTGAAGACAGACTCTGGTGGATTGAGCGGATGAGACCTATTAAAATAGGACCAACGGTCATGAAGGCACTTTTTGCAAGCGATGTGGTACGCTGAGAGCATGGCAAGACGCGAAAGACGCCCTGGTCAACCACTGCGCCCAGCCCATCTCCAACTGTCTCGACTTTTGTCCTGCCATTGGAACAAGATGGAATCTGGGAAGAGAGAGTGAGGCTGACTATGCGCACCTCTCCCTCACTTTAATCCAATCCACGCGCAAGTCTTGACATCTTGACTTTTCCTAACTCCCATAAATTTCAAAGTCCTGTGG